ATCAACATTTGAAGTGTTGATGTAATATTTTATAGTGCCCTAGGCTTTCATTTAATTATCTGTTTTTCTTCTTGCAGTTTGTAGATAAAGTCGGAGAAAGCAACAATATGGTATAACAACAAGTGAATTGAAGACTCATTTAAAATATTGTATTATTTATAAAATCCTTTGAAGAATATTCAGCACAAAATTAAATTACATGAAATAGCTTGTAATGTTCCTTACAGAAGTTTAAAACGTATAGCCTACAGAGTAGCAACAGCAGTTAACAAAGAAGCAGTGAAAACAGACTTCTAACCAAGTCATCTAAGAAGTCAGCAAGCAAACCGAAGGAGATGAAATCTATGTTACAATGCATATTGAAACTCTTGAAGGGGATTTTTACTGTTTTTCCACAATGTGTGAAACACAGCCATCCTTAGAGAACTGTAGTGCCTGTTTCTTTTCTTTTTATTTTGAAGATGCAAGCACACCCATCGGCATTTGCTTTTTAGAACTGTAATGTCCTCTGCAGCAGCGAAAATATTTCCAGTTGCACTGTGTCTCTGAAAGTGGTGCATGAGTTAGATTGGATTATGTCATCGTGATATATTAAAACCAGGAAAACCCAGTGTTGATGTATGAATCACTTTTTTTCTTTTTCTTTTTTTTTTTTTTTGGTAAACGTATGGTTAAAATAAAACTTTTGTGGTTCTTCTGAATCTTAATATTTTAAAGCCAGATGAAAATCTGAACTAGATATTCTTTGTTGGAATATGCAAAGGTCATTCTTTACTAGCTTGTAGTTTCTAAGTTATAGCTGACTCAGCACTTTTTCTTTCCGGAACACATTCTGGAAGTCCTCATACTTCTTGGGACTCTCACGTGAGCATCTGTATCTTTCATGACATGTAAGCATTTAACAAAAAAAGCATTCTTGGTGATGTAGGAGTCTGTTACCTAGCTCATTTCATTGAATAGTTAGTTTGTTATTTAAGATACTACATGATGCAGCCCAAATGGATATTTCCATGTTGTGATCCAGTTTTTCTTTTTCTTTTATTTTTTACAATTTAGCGGTGATTTATTATTTTGCTTTTCATAAAATTACTACTGGTAATATTTACTTTAAGATGTACCGTGTTAAAAGGTTAAACTTACAGCTGTTTTTTAAGGGCTATTTACATAAGCCAAGTTTTCCCTGCTTTTCAGCTTTTTTCATAACAAAAATCAATATGCATAATGTGTGTTTCATATGATCACTCTTCATTTGAGTTCATGGAGAGAATATCTGAGTTCACATACTAAATTATTTTGCTGTAATTAAACTGGCTATAGTTCTGAAAAACATGACACTACAAAAATAATGTGTTGTCTTTTCTACTGTTGCTGCTTGACAGGCAGTAGGAAACAGTAGTTGTTTCTTCATTAGTAGTTTTCCAAGGTGGCACCCTTTTGATAGATGTAGGAAGACATTTCAAGAGTCATAGTACTATTTGTTTTACCACTAATGATTATACTATTTACTCTTTTTTTTAACAATTGCAAAGCTTTTTAATGTATAAAATCATAATTGAAATTTGTGATTTTTATTGACAAATGTGTCTACGAAATATATTACAGCCTATGTTATTTTTAGTTAAATCTCTTGATGCACAGAGAAGTTCCAACCTTGCTCATCGAAAGAAGGAAGGACTTGGTAGATAGTCTAATGGTTCAGCCTTGTGGATTACTGTCTTTTTGGTACTGGCATTTGACTTATAATCTGTGAAAATAGATGACATTGACAAAATGAGACTCCTACCTCAATAGTTCATGGAATAATAAGAAACCTAGTGTTGTGTCTAATGTTCTTCAAAAAAGTAATATCCTCACTTGGAGAGTGTCAAATATATACATATTTTGGGGATTGACTTATACAAGTTGCCCTGTAGGACTCTGTTATACATATTTTTGACTGACCCATATTATTTACAGTGGCTAGATAATTCTACCTTTTTAAAGCAAGAACAGTATCTGTTAATGTATGGAACATCTGTATTATTTAGCTCCTTTGTAGACATGAATTTCTATCAAAATATTCTTTGCACTGTAACAGAGATCTCTTTTTCAGCAATCTTATTTCAGAAAGCATTATTAGACATGTGTAAAGGATGTGATAATCTCCCAGTCCTTAGTAAGAGTCAGAGGCTTGGAGCAGTTTTCAGCTTTAAATGAGTCCACAGTTTATCTCAGATGTGAGTTTGGGACTGCTTGGCAGCATTGTATGTTTCTTATTCAGAACCATTGATGAGGCTCTATTTTTAAACATACTTGTCTTCTGACAGAAAGGACTGTACATCATATTGTTTCTTCCTTTCCAAAATTAGCCTTCTGTCTTTGTGACAAAAAACATTCTCTGATTATTGCTATAAAGACGGAGGAGAAGGTCTAATACTACTTAGCCTTAAGTGTTTCTGGCATTGTTCAAATGTATTTTCTGTAAACAGAAACCTATTTGGAATGTTTTCCTTTTCCCCTTATAAATTGTAATTCCTGGAATACTGCTGCTTTTAAAAGTCTCACAGATTATATGATCTAACAGTTGAATATTGTAAATACACTTGTCTTACTTCTCAATAAAAGGGTACTTTTCTATTAACTGGTGGTTGTCTCAACTTGGGCTGCTATAACAAAATTCCATAGACTGGCTTACACAACAGGTGTTTATTTCTCATGGTTCTGCATCCTGGGAAGTCCAAAATGAAGGTGCTGGCAGATTCAGTTCCTGGAGAGGGCCCTCTTCCTGGCTTGCAGACAGCTGCCTTCTCACTGTGTCCTCACATGGCAGAGAAAAAGAGAAGGAACAAGTTCTCATCTCTCTCCTAATAAGGACACGAATCCCTTAATGAGGAGCCCCATCTTGATAACCTCATCTAAACCTAATTACCTCCCAAAGGCCCACTCTCAAATACCATGATGTTGGGGGTTAGGGTTTCAACATGTGAATTTGGAGGGAACACATTCAATCCATAACAATGGTCAGATGTATTTTTATTAAGAAATTCTAAAACTTTAGCATTGCAAAATAACCCATCTCGTGTTTTGTTTTAACATCTTTATTGGAGTATAATTGCTTTACAATGGTGTGTTAGCTTCTGCTTTATAACAAAGTGAATCAACTATACATATACATATATCCCCATATCTCCTCCGTCTTGCATCTCCCTCCCACCCTCCCTATCCCACTCCTCTAGGTGGTCACAAAGTACCGAGCTGATCTCCCTGTGCTATGCGGCTGCTTCCCACTAGCTATTTTACATTTGGTAATGTATATATGTCCATGCCACTCTCTCACTTTGCCCCAGCTTACCCTTCCCCCTCCCCTTGTCCTCAAGCCCATTCTCTATGTCTGCATCTTTATTCCTGTCCTGCCCCTAGGTTCTTCAGAACCATTTTTTTTTTCAGATTCTATATATAAATGTGTTAGCATATGGTATTTGTTTTTCTCTTTCTGACTTATTTCACTCTGTTTGACAGTCTCTAAGTCCATCCATCTCACTACAGATGACTCAATTTCATTTCTTTGTATGGCTGAGTAATATTCCATTGTATATATGTGCCACATCTTTATCCATTCATCTGTCGATGGACACTTAGGTTGCTTCCATGTCCTGCAATGAACATGTGGTACATGACTCTTTGGATTATTGTTTTCTCAGGGTATATGCCCAGTAGTGGGATTGCTGGGTCATAACCTCGTGTTTTTTAAATTAGCCTTATATGCAGTTTTCTTTTTTACATAATGGTCACATCTTCCATATCCAAACTGTTTAAATGTAATCATAAATAGAAATAGACTTCAGGTAAAAAAGTGAGCAGTGAATTTAGAAATTAGTGGAGAAATGCTTAATGTTTTTTTCTCTACATGGAAGGAATATATAATACTTAAGTATTTGTGACTTAAATAAAATTACTTAACGTCTGCAATGTTTTGATCTTATACTTTAGTAAGGCTGAAAACCACTGGCCAAATCTACCAGTTAAGGTACCCAATAAGTATTTGTTGAATCCAATCATTAAACTGTAAGTCTTGACTATTGTCTGGTGAATCTGTTTTTAAATACAGTATCCAGCACATCTTTCTAACATTGTCCTCTGGGCTGAAAGCTTCCAACTTCTGCTCTTCTGCTACTTGTATCCATATAGGAGGTTGGACATAGAAATGGCGTCCCCAAATCCTTCATCGACTGACACATTTTCATGGTCTTACCTTTACCAACTCTAAGACCTATTAAAAGGTCACCTCTGTTTGACTGACTAGGCCAAAACAGCTGGCCCTTCCTGTCCTCTCCTAGAACCTGCCAATTGTTTTGTGGTATTTACATGGTTTGCGAAAAGACATTCTTAAAGTTCAAACCCTTAAGTAAAGGACAGTAAAGACACTGGCCAATGAGTGGAGAGCTTTATTTTGGATAGCAGGCCTTCTCAGTGTCCCTAAATCTCCTCCTAAAACTGGTAGCCCTTTGGGGAAATTACTTCTTCCACCCCTTTGTGAGACAACTGGCCTATGGGGCTGACTGGCCTTCAGAGAATAAAGCCAAAGTAGGACTTGAACCCAATGACCTCATCATCCTGTACCAAAACCCTCTATTCTGTTATCAGAGAGTAATTTGGATACTTGAGTATCTCAATAGCCATATTGTCCAGGTAATCTTACCCAAGATAGGAGCTGTTTGAGAAAGACGAATATCATGTGATAGCACTTATGTGTGATTTCTAAAAAACTGATAGAAACAAACTTAAAACAGAAATAGACTCACAGACATCAAAAACAAACTTACAGTTACCAAAGCAGAAGGGGGGGGTAGGTAAATTAGGAATTTTGGATTCACAGATACATACTACTATGTATAAAACAAATAAAAAACAAAGACCTACTGTATAGCACAGGGAACTATAGTCAATATCTTGAAATAACATATAATGGAAAAGAATCTGAAAAAATGTTTTATATATATATAACTGAAATACTTTGCTGTGTACCTGAAACTAACACAACATTGTAAATCAACTATACTTCGATTTAAAAATGTATAAATAAAGTTTAAAAATAATTTTTTAAAAAGATAGCTGTTTTCTGTGTGAACACAATAATCACTGACCTTGTAAGAATGCAGTTTAAACTGTGACAGTTTTTTTTCAATGGGGCTTGGGCACGCTCCAGTCAACTAGAAGAATTCAGATAACATCAGTGATGCAGGCAAAATGATCTCCATTAAATATGCCTTTAAAAAAGGTTTTGGATCCAATTTGTACAGTACCCACTGCCGGGTCATCATATCAGCAGAATAAAATTTACTGGTTTTCTGCAACTGTTTTTTTCTCAAATAAGTAACTTTTCTTAGCCAATCTCTAGGTTTAGACCTGTAAAAATCTTAAAATATTGTGAATTTAACAAAAACATTTGATTGGGAGTCAATGCCCTTTTAGAACAAACACATTCTGGCATGTTACTTTTGATAAGACTACAATATTGATAATATGTCAAAGCCATTCTGCTCACTTGTGCATATTATGCTGAAAATGGCAGCTTTGACGTAAATAATCTGTTTGTGAATTCATTAGCGAAACTGTTACAGACAAATCACGTTCATTATATTTTCCTTAAGATTGTAAATGCAAATCACAGTTTGGCAATTTCTTTTCCCGTCCCTCTTTCTAAAACCTTTGTGTGTTTTGGGTATGGAGGGGGGGAAAAGACATTTTAGTTGCTTGTTAGGGTTAACCTAATAACTGGGTTTCACTTATGAATTGTTTTAAAATATAAACACATGCATCATCTTTCTTCTGTGGCTTTTTTTTTGGAAGTTGTTACAATCCTTTGAAATTAAATTCTAAAATCCTGAAACGTAATATTTAAAGGAATATTGATTTTCTTTAGATATGGTGAAAACCTTTTAGTCCTTAGTTTTTATCTTCCTCCTCTCCTAAAACAGTGGAAAACACTACATTCATGGTTCTGGCTCCTTCTTGCTGTACTTATTCTTTAAAAGGAGTAAATATTCTTCAAGTTTCTACCTACAAACTACTTTCTATATTTCATTCTCATTTACTAACCACATCTCAGTTTTCTTGGCCGCACATGATTGACAATTCCAAACATCAAATGCCCAAACCTCAGTCTCTCTTAGACAAGTATTTACTGGTAGATAGCATCACCCCTCAAACTTAAGTCCCAAACTAAACTCATCTAGTCCCTCTGCATTATCCCTGATGTTTCTATTGTTAACCATTCTCCCAGCCATGTAGACGCTAAGCGTTAGTTTTTTTTTTTTATCACTTTTTATATCCTGTAAGCTTTACTACTCAAAATGTCCAAGGATTAGTAGACTAGCATTTATTAGCATCACTTGGGAGTTTAGTACAAATGCAGACTCTCAGGTCCCACCCCAGCTATAATGAATCAGAATGTACATTTTAACAAGATTCCCAGGTGATTCAAAAGCGCATTAATACCTGCGGAGCACTGCTCTAACATTCCGAAGAAAGTGACCATCTCTCTCATCCATGGTACTTTAGCATATGGTGGCCACTCTGGTCCTTGTTCACTGTCTGCCTGTGTGTAGAACTATTTCAACTGGATATTGACAAATTTGGGTCCTATTTTTCTTGCCTTCCACAAAGTCCCTTTTTTGCAGTTCTCTTTCCACATCATCAATTTCTCCTTCTCTGCTGATCATCCCCATCAGCACACATGTTCTGCAAATGGTCATCAAAAGAAACCAACAGACCTGGTTGATTTAAGCAAAAGAGGACTTTATTAAAAGGACAGTGCGGTTAGTATCACCCTTCCTCTAGCACTGGATGCTGGTGTCTGTCACTAGCATTGCAGCCAGGATTGCCCCCACAAACTCAAGCATCCTACAACCAGTGCTGCACTAGAAAGTATTTCTCCTACTCCGCACTTTCTTCCCTCCCCAGCTCCAGACCAGTGGGTACGTCCGATTGGTGAAGCCTGCCTCATGCCCACACTCTACCCAATAGGGAGGCTGGTAAAGAGTGTCTAGCATTTTCAGCTTCTACAATACAAGGAAGATGCTGCCTCCCACCAAGAATCATAATTTATAGTTTAGGGAATTTCCAAAGTTCCCTAAAATTGAAAGGATTCAGATTTGCTGCAAGGCTAAAAAAAAAAAAAAAAAAAAAAATAGCCCGCTTCCACCACACTCACATATCTTTTTTAAAAGTTCATTTTCCTTTCCCCCTTTTGGTGAAATTTCTCAAAAAGGTTGTCCACACTTGTCCTTATTTCCTCATATCCTATTCAACCCATCCCAGTCTAGCTTCTGTCCTCAAAAGCCATCATATTCTCAAATCCAGCAGACACTTCTTAGCTCACATCAGTTTAACCTTTCAATGTTATTGGATAGTCTCCTAGCTCCCATGGCCTCGTTCTCCTGGAATTTCTTTCTTTCCGACTGCTTCCGTTCAGCTTCCTTTGCTGACTTTCCCTCTGCTCAATCTCTGTAGGTTTGTTCTCAGAACTCTATCTCTTCCTCTCTTTAACTCCGTTCACTCCCTAAGTATTTTTTCAATCCCAATTTTTTCCTGCCTTAAAATTCTCAAGATTCTTAAATCTGATAATTCCTGCCTTTAGAAAAAAAATCTATAGGCTGGTGACCTGTTTGCTGAGCTCTAGAGTTTACATCTGCAACTGCCTACTTCACATTTCTCCTTGGATGTCTAATATACATTTTTAATTTTAATATGTCCAAAGGCAACTCTTTATTTCCCTCTCTTAACTGCTTCTTTATGAAGTCTCTCCAATTTCAATAAAGAGTTTCATCATTCACCCATTGATTAAACCAAAAATCTAAGAGTCATCCTTGATTTATTTTTCTTAAACTCTCATATACAGTTTATCCACAAGTCCATGTTTTCTGCCTCCCAAATTCATTACAGCTCTCCATTCCTTACAAGGACTCCCCTAGTCTAAGCCATCATCATCTTTTGCTTACAAACAAGTTGTCATTTCTTACTCTCCAACCTCAATTTACAGTGTCCTCCCCTGACACCCACACAGCTTTGGCTCCATTGGTCTCCTTCCTGTTCTTCAAACAAGCCAAGCTACTTGCCATCCCAAGATTTTGTATTTTTCTTCTGCCTGAGAACGTCAGCAATACTGCTTCCCACCCCAGTTTATCCCATGTCTGACTCCACCTTATCTTTCCAGACCCCCTTTTATTCTTACCTTCCCTAAAGTAGCCCACCACTTACCTTATCACATCATTTTGCTTACTTTTCCTTTATAAAGCATTTTAAAATTCTGTAATTACCTTATTTACCGGTTTGGAGTGTTTCCCCCCTGACTAGAAGATAAGCATGATCAAAGCAGAGACTTGTCTTTTTAATACGTGGCTGTGTCCCTTGAACTAAAAGGAAGGATGTCTGTTACATAGTAGGCATTCCATAAATATTTGTTAAATAATTGAATGGATAATTAAGTGAATGACTGATGTCAAAATCCATTGAGATTCCCTAACCTTTTCATTTCTACCCAAATGATTCATCTTTACTCACCGGTGTTAGCTTGATAGCTAGTTAGTTACCCAAGACAAGTTTTCTTACTTTGTTCATTTACTTTTGATTCTGCCTGGGGTTATTAATCATTTTCAATAATAATAATAATAATAATACTGCCTTGGGAAGCTAATAGGAAAATCAAAGGTCATGATGCTGATATTTTCAGAATATCTCCTGGCTGATGTGGACAGTAAATGATATTCACCCATCAATCATTCCTCTGCTTCCTGCAACTGAATCTCCCTGGAGGAGTCATCAGATCCTCTCAAACTTGAAGACTGACAGGAAGTCCCTGTGGACACTAGCTCTATGCAAAATCAGGAGGGATCCTTGACCCTAAGATTTAAAAGCCCCACCTTCAGAACAAAATTAGAAAACTCAGAGGTTAAGTTATAGTTATTGCAGCTTCTGGAAAGGTGTAGAACATGAAGGTAAGTAAAGGTTTTATATACTTGAGTTTTTTAAGCTATTTTATAAAAAAGCTGTATAGCTTTTTACCTCTTTTATGTTTAATAAGTGTTTCAGAGGCTAAAGGATAGTTAAACGTTATGCCTTTAAAATATCAGAATCATTTGATTTTACAAAGAAAAAGTTTCACTAATTCACCCAAATCCTCATTTGGGTTAAATAATAAAAATAATATATTTCTAATTAATTGTTTTTAAAAAAGAACTCTTTGTGGATTAACTAGACGATAAACTGGGGAACCACCTTCTGCCCCACCCTCTGAGCGCTAAAACAGAACATAGCAAAAAGTAAGGGATTTGTAATTGTCCAGGCGCCAGGGAAGGAAGCAGAAGATCCTATAGAGGCACAGAAACGACTTCTTTGATCTTTTCATACAGGGATTCAGAAGTCTGGTGGTAACAACCTTGACTCTTTTCCTGGTGTTTTCTTTCATGGGAAATTCGAACAGTGCTCCGCAGGTAATCAAACGCAAAAATTGGGACTCCGCGCGCTGTGTGCCTGCCTGCCTGCCTTCCTTCCTTCCTCCCTCTCTCTTTCTCTCAATTTCTTCCCCTCTTTTCCTAATATCTTCTCCCTTCTTCCTTCCCTTCCCTTTCTTTCTTTCCCTCCCCTCCTTTTTTTTCCTAATAGTGGGCTGGGCAGCAACGCCTTACTAACTGCTTTCCTCTTCTCCCCGGGTTATAGAGACTCTTTGAGAGAAGGAATTGGACTCCACAAGCTATGCTCTACCTGAAGGGTGCACGTACGTTCCAAATACTTTGCTCTTCCGACAGCAATAGAGGGAGATCCGTAGGGGTGCGTGAATCGGTGGGATAGATGTAGAGCTGTGGGGAGAGAATCCTATCGAGTTTGTTCCCATAAATAATCGAGGTCATCCTGGTCTCAGTTAATCAAGGAGAAAGGTTGGGGGGCGGGGTAGATTATCAGAAATCCTCCACCCTAAACCGGAGGGTTGCTGGCTCTTGCCCAAAGGGAGACTGGGATTTCCGGGGACACACCGCCCCACCCTGGCTGGTGAGCGAGATCGCCGCCCCCTCCGAAGCTCACTCGGGGGCCCGGGGGCGGGCGGCGTGCGGACCTTTACCTCATCCGCGCCGGCGCCCCAACCCGGGCAGTTCCGCGCGCACCGGGCCCCGCCCGCTCCCGGCCCCGGAACTCCGATCGATCGGGCCGGGTGGGCGCTGAGCCCGTGTCTCGCCTTGGCAGAGGGGCGCCGCTTCATCTCCGACCAGAGCCGGAGGAAGGACCTCGCCGACCGGCCGCCGCCCGGTGAGTGCGCGGGGGTGGAGGGAGCCGCGGGCTACAGAGGACCGCGCAGGACCGGAGGGGCGCGCTCCGCCTCCAAGACTGGCCCGTGGGCCTTCCCGGGGGAGAGCCGGCCCCGCCCGGCGCCGCTGTCAGCGGCGGAGCTGGGGATCGCAAGGCCCCGCCAGTATGGAGGTGGGCGGCGGGGGCCGGGGTTCCGCTCCCGGGCGTCAGGATGGATATGAGAGCTGTGTGCCTACCCCGTCCGAGAAACGGGCCTCCCGTTTAGGGCATGATCTTTACAAGATTTCTCTTAAACGCTGTTGTTGTTGCCAATGTTGGTATCATCATCATCATCATTATTGAAATAGTGATTTGCCTAAAAACTTCAAACAGCTCTATTATATTACTAAAAAGAACTATCAAAAGGTTCAAAACCAGAAATAGTGAAGAAGTGGGAGCCTTTAAGGATGGAGCCAGAGACTGTTTCATGATAAACCTTTCCATGCCATTGGAGTTAAAAATAACAATACCATTCATTTTGATAAACGTTCAAGATTGTTAAAAATACCAAGTAGGCTCATTTTGAAAAATACCAAACACTGTGTTGAGCACATAGATGCTTATCAAATTTTTGTTTACCTTCTTCAAGCCTGCAGTGTAATTAACCTTTTTTTTTTTTTTTTTTTATACCCTGGGGGGGGTGGGTTTTTTTTTTTTTTTTTCTCATCTCCCAAATTAAAAATCACGGTTTGTGTTGAATCAGGACCGTTTGTCTTCTGTCAGCTTAGATTTGAAATAGTTTTGACTATTTTGCAGATTCTCCTTCAGTCAAATAATTGACTTAACATGTGGCCAAGAAGGTAGATTATTTTCTCAAACTGCTTTGGAAGGAACAAGAGAGAAGATAGTCCAGGCTCCAGGCAGGGTCCCATCTAAACCTTTCAGCCCAGACATCCCATTTTAAGCTCTGAGGGGGAAATTTCTCATGAGTTCTTTATCTTAATCCTCCTTGCTTTCATGAAATTCTCTGTAGTATATAGTTTAAATTTTCTTCCATTCCCTGTAATACACAACATAACCAGTTGTAAGCAATGCCTAAGGGAAGTGTGAAATGTTTCAACTTGTAAAAATCATTCTGTGTAAGGGGCTCTTTGCTGAGGGATCACAGAGGTATTTCACAGAGATTTTCTAGTATTATAGCATACTAGAATAGGATTTATCTATATGAATATTTAAATGCTAATAGAATCTGTATTTATTTTTTCATTTCTCCAGAAAGACGAAGCCCAAATCCCCAACTACTAACTCTTCCAGAGGCAGCAGCTGTGCTATTGGCTTCCTTGCAGAAACTGCAAGAAGGTATAATTATAGTGACCTCTTTTAACTGCAGGACAGGGAAGCTTTGAGTGCTTTGGGCATTCTGTGTTGAGTACAATGAAGTTGCTTTTATTTATTCAGATTTTTAAAAATAATTAATGGTTGCCCACACCACCAGAAATTCACAGAGATGTTTATTATTTTAATACTAGCATGCTGCTCATTAAAGTGTTTCCCAAGAATGTAAAAACATTTCCTTGATGAGACTGGGGGATTTCATGTTAATTCCATTATCCATAGCCTATTGGAGCTTTTATTTCTGTTAGAACTCCAAAAAGTCCAACTTCATTATTTTATATTTGAAAAAACTGAGGCCAAAAGAGGTTTAAATAATCGCAAATCCAGTTACTCGCTATTAAAGTTTGAACCAAATGAAATAGCTGAAAATCACTGATTTTTTACTTACAAACACAGCAGTTTCTTATGGTTCACCCTAAGAGATTGGGCTAGTTCTGATTCTAAGCCTGTGTGATTTGCATTATACTATATAGCTTCTTGCATACCAGGATTAGGTGTGTTCTTCAAATAGAGGCTCTCTGTCCATGTAGCATTAAAACCACTAATTGCATTAAGGCATCTTGTTGCACATTAGCCAGGGCTGTGGAGTATAACAGGACTGGGTTCAAATCTTGGCCTTGTTGCTTTACTAGCTGGGTGACCCTGAGCCTCAGTGTCATTATGAGTAAAATGAGATAATGACATCCATGGGCAGGTTGCTCTCAGAGCCAAATGAAACAAAGTACATACTTTCTATTAGCATTAACAATAGAGGTCATCAAAGCATATTCAACAGATCTAGATTTTTCCCTCTCAAAAATTGTAATGATGCCATATTTATGACATAATTTAAATGTTAAAATGTATTTAACAAAATACAGTGAGTCGTTTAGTGGTCAAAGCATAGGCTGCTGGCCTTGGGCTCTGACACTTGTGCTAGCGGAGAAAGCCGGTGTGCTCCCTGCCTGTTATTGGACGGGCCCCATCAGGGAGGGGAAGAGAGCAGGGGGCTCTTTCTGGCTTCTAGTTTATGGCTTTTTTGTGAAAAAACAAAAAACAAAAAAACCTATGAGAAGCAAATGGAAGAGAGTGGGATAAAGAGGTTTTTGGGTTTTTTTGGGGTTTTTTTGCGGTACACGGGCCTCTCACTGTTGTGGCCTCTCCCATTGTGGAGCACAGGCTCCGGACGCGCAGGCTCAGCGGCCATGGCTCACGGGCCCAGCCGCTCCACGGCATGTGGGATCTTCCCAGACCAGGGCACGAACCCGTGTCCCCTGCATCGGCAGGCGGACTGTCAATCACTGCACCACCAGGGAAGCCCTAGAGAGGTCTTCTGAAATCAGAGAAAGTCCGCGGCTGACTTGGTTGGGTGGAGGGGATTATAATACTGAATTCAGCAAATCTGCATTTATGCCTGCTAGGTGCCAGGCACTGTGACAGGTAGAGAAGAAAATGGATTAAACAAAAGCAAGAATGAGAATGGCCTTTGCAGTGAAAAGGCAGGGTGTGAACAGTCAGTAGGACAGTAGACTGTGAGAGTCATGGCCATAGTATAGCTATGACTACAACTACTGTTACTACTCACTCTAGCTAATAATTATTGAGGGTTTTACTATAATGCAGTGGGTCAGGCACTGTTCCAAGCACTTGATACGGATTAATACATTTATTAATAATTCATTAATCCATAACAAATGAATTACCTCCTAGGATTACCCACTGTCATTATCTACACTTTACAGACAAGGAAATAGAAGCACAGAAAGATTGAGTAGCTTGCCCACTATCACATTGCAGGTACATACTAGTACTAGGATAAAAGAACAGGGGGTAACTTATTCTTTACCTGAGAATCAATCAGATGGTCCATGGATTTTTACCAGAAGGAGGACATGATGAAGGAAGATGAAACTGGTTATTGCTTATAGGGTAACCATAAGAGCAGTTACAATAGCTACAATATGGGAACATCTACTGTGTGTCAGATATTAATGCTAATCTTTATAGCCCAGAAAACTGACCCTTCCTGAGCTGTATATACTTTCCTAAGGTCCACATAGAGTGGAAGTGATATGGGGAGTTTACACAGCAGGAAGTGATATGGGGAGTTTAACTCAGGGCTGTGGGATGCTGTAGCTCTTTCAGCTATGCCCTGCCACCTCTCAGATGGATGGTGTTGAAGAGGAAAGGCCAGAGTGATGATGTCAGTGAGAAACTAAGGCAATTATTCAGGAGTGGAGTGATGAGGTCAGTGGGAATGGAGGCTCAACCCTGAGGCATACTGGAAGGAAGAGCAGATAAAAATCAAGGTCCTCGTGGAGAGCACAGGGAACTATATTTAATACCGTGTAATAAATCATAATGGAAAAGGCTATGAAAAAAATATATGTATAACTGAGTCACTTTGCTGTACAGAAGAAATTAACACAACATTGTAAATCAACTATACTTCAATAAAATTTTAAAAGGAAAGAGAGAATCCAGAGTCAAGCACATTTTTAAAGTGTTTTTGTGAGTTTAAAATGGTGATTCTGACAAATGAAAATGCCTGTGGATATAATTAAGGTTCAGTTTGAGGTGACGGAGCCTTTCCAGTGGATAAAGGTGTATAGGTCACTGGTTCTCTGCTCTCCACATGTGGACTGGTTCCATCAGAGTTCTCTGTAGAACTTGCTGAAAATACAGATTTCTTGGCCTTAGGTCCAGAGAGTCTGATTCCATACTACTTGAGTGAGGTCCCAGAATCTGTATCCTTAAGAAGTTCACTCACATTATTCTCATGATGTCAGGTTTGGGAACAACTGGAAATTCAGAGCCAGTTAATAAAGGTTGGAAACATGAAAATGGAACTCTCTCCTAGGCCTCAGATGTAGTGGGAAAAGGGCAGAGAATAAAGGATTTGCCCTGGAGAATACCCAGAGATCAAGGGAAAGGGGGAAAATCGTATCAGTGAAGGGACTTCAAAAGGAGCAGGCAGAAAGGTAGGAGGAGAGCCAGAATAACAGAGAATCTAAGAAGTCGAGGATGGAAAGTTTCAAGAAAGGAGTGATGAGAAGCATCAAATATAGCAGAATGCTTAGTAAGAGTACAGAAATCAAAGGAGAAGGAAGATTGTGTTGGGTAGGAAGGGTCATTAAATCACGGCTCACAAGTCTTCTCCTCAGCCCCTGCCCAGTGGTATGATTTGCTGCTGCCTTGCCTGTCTGAAACCTTGTTTCAAGGGAATTTAGGAAAAGAAGGTAAACTGCAGAGTTAAGAGATTAAGTGGATGCTTACTGGCATGGCTTTCAGAATTCTTGTGATGAAAAGGTGAGAAAGAGTTGAATCATGGGTAGAAGATGCTGCATCCAAGGTGGTCTTTTCTAAATTCAGCATTTGGCACTCTGATTTTTTTTTTTCCAGCTGCGCAGCGAGGCATGCGGGATCTTAGCTCCCTGACCAGGGATGGAACCCATGCCCCCTGCAGTGGAAGGGTAGAGTCTTAACCACTGGGATGCCAGGGAAGTCCCTCTTACTGATTTTTGAAGTCAGTAGGAGGACAGTGAGGTTGGAGATGGATTGTTAGTGACGTCTGAGATTTAATTGCTGGGAGGATGTGCAGAGCCAGAAAGGAAAGAGAGCTGGAATGGAGAAGGTAGAGCTAATTTTAAAGAGGAGGAGAGGGATCTTCATTAGAAACTTTACAGAAGAATGTGACTGTAGGTCTCCATTTCAAGTCTTTGTTGGAGAATAAATTCAAGTTTTTAATTATTGAAGTTTCCAAAGTGGCTTGTCTCTGATGATGAAATGGGGAAACAAAATTTTATTAGTCTAAATGGATGGGAAAGTTTTGGATTCCCATATGATAGATTAATCACTAGTCACCTTTAATATTTTTATTCTGAAGTCCCTAGGTATTATTTGGACTTATTTTATGCAGTGGATTATTATTTTAAGTAGTGGATTGTTACCTTAATGGAGGATATACAGGGATGATTCCTTTCTTTTTTATTTTTTTCCTTTCCTTTAAATACATACTAGTATATTTAAAATAGATAACTAATAAGGAGCTACTGTATAGCACAAGGAACTCTACTCAATACTCTGAAATGAACTATATGTGAAAAGAATCTAAAAAGAGTGGATATTTGTATATGTATAACTGATTCACTTTGCTGTACAGTAGAAACTAACACAACACTGTAAATCAACTATACTCCAATAAAAATTTTTAAAAATAGAAAAATAAAATTTTTTTAAAAAATTGAGTAGCTGATAATCTGCAGTATTTTGAAGTTTGCTACCAGTTCAGATTAAACTATAACTCAGATATTCCAACCATATTGTAACTAACTAGGGGAAAGTGGTTTTCTCTAGAGATGACCTTACATAACATGAGGAACGGAATTTTGCCTCTGGCAGCTTCCTCTCCCTTCCCCATCCTCAGTTTCAGCCCTTCAACCCATTTTTAGTCCCAGGAATCTGCTGTCATCTCAGTCCGCTGTCCCCACCCCAGAGGTGATTCTTCCTGCTCTGAAGTTGTGCAGTCCTGCCCAGCTAACAAGTGTCCCTTCTTTTTGTCTTACTTCCACCCCAGACATCTAGTTCAACTTGTAAGAGAATATGTGCAAATGTGTTCCTCTGTCATCTTTCCCAGCTAAAATGCATTTTAACAGGAAATACAGAAACAGTACCTTGATGCAAGTGAATGGTTCTACTGGTGGGTATTTTAGACATGAGGCATAGTTAGAGCAAGACATGTGGCCTTTTCAGATTTCTACCAAACACACCATGTAATAGTTAAATTCACTGTAGAGATTCACATGTCAGATGTGAATTCCTCAATGCATACCAAGCTGAGGGGGAAATTTTTGAAACAAAATCAATCAAAATCCAATTTGGGAGTGGTTTCCATAGCAGAGTGCTTGAGTTGACATAATGTAGGGGGGCAAATGAGGTTCTCTTCATCTTATATTTTCTTCTTATAAAACACAGGGTACATGTTTATGTTATGTATTTTTTTTTATCCTTACAGCTGGAGAAGAAACCTTTGATCAAACCAGATTCCTAGAAGATAGCCTGCTAAACTGGTGAAAATATACCAGATTCCATTCAATTATAGTTCTGTTCTTGTTGAAAATATGAACCATGTGAATAAAGCCTGTGGACCCTTTTTATCTTCATTTGTAATCTTAGGAACATGTGCAGCCAGTTTTATTCTTTCAGAAGCTAAAGTGATGTTGAGTTCTTAGTGAGAACATCGTTGCTTTCTTCCATTGCTTCAGGTCCTGTTTAGATCGCCTTGTGTCTTACTCTTGAATTTTTTAGCCCATTTATAATTATTAGGTTGAAGACTCTTTAGAGTGTTCTTTCGTTTTGTGACAACAAATACCCATCTTGATCTAATCATTCTTAGTTGCTTTTTTTCATTCTGTTACCCACTTGCACTGTCTTATCACTCAGCAGAGAATCTCCTCTCCTTTTCCCCCTTTTCTCACCTCCAAGGAGGGTGAGGCAGGGAAGCATGGCAAGATGGGAAAGAGTAGAGTGTGATTCTTTTAGTATTCAGGAGAGGTAAGTTGTCAGGAAGGGAAGAGGGAAGGGATGACTGGGAAGAAGCCCTGTGATCAGACACTGCAGTGTGGTTGCTGAGAGAGGGGACCCTTGGTGAGACTGGAGCCAGTGGAAGGTTCTACAGCTGGAAGCTCCCCCTTGTGCTCTCTGGGGATCTCCCCGAATTCAGTTTAGAAACAAGGATCTAAAAGTTACTGGGAAATAAGCAGATGGAAACACACGCTGCTCTTGTACAAAAGAAACAAACCAGTTTTTTAGAGGTAACCCATTTTCCATGGCTAAACAGACTCAAACACTACTTACTCTAATTGACTAGAACTCTAGGCTTTATTTGACATAAAAACATAACATAAAGGCACCCTGATACAAAGTGCATGGTAATATGCCTAATTTATTCATTTTTTTAACTCAACTAGGGTTCAGTACTATATGAAAAATAAAATACACACATACTTACAGCAAGCATATAGTATATTTATTTGGAATTACAATATGACCACCATGTTCATTATTTTTGACTTAATTACTTGAGAGTTGTTATTGGTAAATGTCACAAGTAGAAAGTATTGTCCATTCTTATTGTCATCAGTATATAGCTATTAGTCAGTAGCTAAAGAATATCATTATGTGAATGTCTCTGTAACTTGGAATTACAATTTTACTGTGTTAAGTAATCAAAACCCTGCTTATAAGATTTGTCTGTATCTCATTTCATAATTGAATAATGAAACTGTATTCAAGTTAATGTAACTTTGATGTCTGCCAAAAAAATAATATGCTAACAATAAAAAAAATCTATGTGGCATTATAATAGGTACCTGTCATTAATTATTGTTTGATTTTAAAGTGGATTTTCTAGACAGTGTATATGTCCAGTTTATTGAGAATTATGTACTCACCTGACATAGACTTGTACATATGGACTACTTAAATACTATGTCTAGTCCCAGAATACAATTAAAGTCTATCTTACAAAGTAATTCTTCTACAACTAGAACAATCTCAAGTATTTCCCACTAAAACAGAGTTTGTAAAAGCTGTCTAAATGACCAACAGCTGTTATAATATCAGCTACAATATTACAAGTACTTGAATTTCCTGAACATTGTTCTGCCGTACAGATGTGCACATTAACCCAGTAGTTGCATATGCCCGGTTTGCTGTAACTTTCTATCTCTCCGGGGGTGTCTTTGCAATTCTCTTTGTTTCTATCTTGTTCAAAACTGAAATGAATAAGTGATCAGTGCTCAAAACTTTTCACGTTGTATGGCTTGTCTTTTAAAATTGGAAAATATATGCCTCCTGTGCACGTCCATGTACTAGAATACCCCACCTCCAGATAGGACTTGCAGCCACTTTCACCCCGTTCCAGTTGCTCTTCCCCTCTTTGCCTCTATAGCCTTCTTCCCCTGTGGCTACGTGGTCTCCAGGGTGGGCTCTCAATTACTCTCTATTCCCCTGGTTTTCCCCAGTGGATGACTCCTCTCCCCCACCATAGTGATCCTAAGCAAGGAGAGAAGGTGAGAGGTTAAAATCAGCCTCCAACTAGCATTTCTTCTTTACCTGCTGATGAGAAATAAAAGTCTATATCCTACCAACCCTGAGTTACATTATTTTACCTTGACCTCAGGAGAAAGAGGAGTTGGGAATGTAACCTGTTGGTCTCCTCCTACCGGACTATAAATCCCTTAAGGAAATGTTCACGTCTAATTTGGTTTTATCCTTACAACCACAATGTGAGGTGGGCAGTTGTATCTCCCACATTACTTCACAGAAATTTAGGATCATCCTAGGAAGTCGCTTTCAATCTCCTCAAGTACACTTAACCAATCCCTCTTCTGAGACCTCCTTGTGTCCAGGAAAGCTACTAGTATAGCACTTGTAATATTTTATATTCCCATCTGTATATGTAAAGCCAGCTCTGTTCACTCTAGCCCTTACCATGGAAGGAAGGGTGGTACAATGCATAAAAAAAGTCTTGCTGTCAGCTGGTCAGGCACACACAATTTTCCATATTTCCTGTCCTCCAATTTATGGATACATACATTATTATTTTTTCTTTTTTTATACATACTTTAAGAGCATCAATTTTTTGTATCCATGTTTCTCCCAGTAAGACCATTCATTTATGCGACTACTGTGTATAAGGTGCTGTGCTAGACACACAGTCACCTAACAATCCTATTGGTTGTTCCTCACCGAGCTTTGTCAATATTGGGGAAAGAGCAACTAGACACCAGTCTTTGTCAGTCTTGGGGAAAGGACAACTAAGTGACTGGAGCAAGGGGTTGGAGTCAGGTGGCAGCAGCTGTCTGAATAGAGGACCAAGTGCAGGGTAGAAACTGATTCTTACACATGCCACTCGAAGCCAGGTGTTTGCAAATCAGTCATTTCCATGTGTCCTATACCATTTGTACTCATTTCTAATCAAAGAACTATTCTTTCATTTAAAAAAAAAAACACTTGGGCTTCCCTGGTGGCGCAGTGGTTGAGAGTCCGCCTGCCGATGCAGGGGACACGGGTTCGTGCCCCGGCCCGGGAGGATCCCACATGCCACGGAGCGGCTGTGCCCGTGAGCCATGGCCGCTGGGCCTGCGCGTCCGGAGCCTGTTGCTCCGCAACGGGAGAGGCCACAGCGGTGAGAGGCCCGCGTACCGCAAAAACAAAAACAAAACAAAACAAAAAAACTTGAACTTTAAAGTTTTTTATTAAGAAGTTATAGCTTCTGTATAGCTCATGCTTTCAGTAGCCGTGGATCAACCAGTTACCAATCAAGAGTATCACCTGAATACACACATTGCACCACTTTATTAGGGATCTATTTTCATGGTTATTGCAAAAGTGAAACCCATTTTATCATGAGATCTTTCTGGCACTTCAGCAAATGAGTATTTGGATTGTAATACAAATCTAGTTCATATTTTTTTCTGATGTCCTCTGCAGAGCTTGGAGAGTTGGGTTAATTGGTATCCACTGGGCATTTTTTAAGGATTAGGCTTTAGGTAATTTATTTTCCTTCCTTACAAACTTCTAAATTAGGGGAGTTTGCAACGGTCTTCCATTTTGACCTGAGTTGTTGCTTGTATTCGCCATTCTTCTACTCTCCCCTAACAACGGGGTGATAGAGCTGGAGTGCAGTTTTCCACTGGTCGTGTACCATCTGACACACTGTCATTGTTTCTCTTCCCTTATTGCCATCAACAACCCAGCACTGAGAAGACCTAAATTTTTTTAGAGCCCCTACAGACCTGGACCAACCAAGGTATTCACTGTGATCTAAATGTAACAACATTCAGTTGTGGAAAAAACAATCCATGAGTGAATGTGGGGTTTGGGTTTTGTTTTGTTTTGTTTTTTGCTGATTTATGTTTAACTACATTTAAAGCATTAATATGTTTAACTACACTCATTCAACAATGTCTCAGAGACATTGTCCTTATTATAATTAAGTAGACTCTCTATTTTCTTTTGGCTACTTTTTTTAAAAGATAGTTTTAAATGTTATCCTTCATAAGGCACTATTTTATAGTAGGTGTTTTTACACATATTATCCTTATGTCTAAAAGAATTTTAAACATTATCAATGCAGTTAAATCTTTAAATACTGATATATTTATTCATATGGATTTAACAATTTATCACCTATGGAAGACTGACCAAGTTTTCAAAAAGGCTTTCCTTTTAAACAACAGAAAAAAACTGTTACAGTCAGATGGTACAGTACAATGGTAACATCTCCTGATCATTAACTTGAGAACTGACCTTGTACATATGCATTAATATGTATCAACATCTGGATTTAGGGTAGCTACTGTCCTATGGAGTTTGATTGTCTGCAAAGCTAGGTATAAATGCATGGTTCTGCCTCATGTGAAAAATAAAAATAATCACTAAAGACCAAATTACTTGAAATGTAAAGGTAGACCACATTCATAGCTAAGATCAGGATCCTTTGTGGGGGAAATGGCAGATTGGTTTAGCAGGTATAGAAGCTGTATAAACACTAAGCCAAGGGCTTCCCTGGTGGCGCAGTGGTTGAGAGTCCGCCTGCCGATGCATAGGATGCGGGTTCGTGCCCCGGTCCGGGAAGCATCCCACATGCCGCGGAGCGGCTGGGCCCGTGAGCTGTGGCCGCTGAGCCTGCGCGTCCGGAGCCTGTGCTCCGCAACGGGAGAGGCCACAACAGTGAAAGGCCCGCGTACCGCAAATAAAACAAACAAACAAACAAAACACTAAGTCAAGGATCATGGTGATGATAACTAAAAAATCAGCATTAGGAAATGAAAATTCTTGTTGCTTAAAATAACCATTTAAAAAACACTTCCAGTCTTCCTCCTTTAATTAACACTCTTCCTAGAGCCTGAACTGACAGGGGTAAAAGGAGTTGGATTTTATTATAAATTACAAAATTGCCATTCACTTAATCTCCTCCACTTTTTAGGCAGAGAATAAATCCCATTGTTATACTGAGAAGAAGAGAATGAACCATGTGACATCTTCATTTCTTTCAATAATCATTCTTACTATGTTCTCACTGAATTAGCCTGTTCGACCAGAGTGGAATTCAGTTCTTGTATTCACCGTGCAGCTTCTTCTTCCCGCGAGGAACGTGATTCAGAGACAATGGAGACTTGATATTTAACCGATCCCTTTCAGCCTCCTCTTCCTCATCGTATCTTTCATCCTCATTCTCATCCTCCACATCACTGCTCTGAGGACTAGAGACCTGAGATCCTGAAGGAGAAGGTGGTACTGAGGAAGGCCTGGGATATTTAAACCCTTCTGTCTGCCAAAGACAAAAATAAGACACAAAACATTAGAATGGCTTTTTGATTTTTCAGTGATGTACACACTTGGCATGTGCATTTAATAAAAAACACAGTTGGATTTTTTGGTCTGTTCAGGGGCTATTAACTTTGATTTATCTTGATTCTGGTCCAACCACGCTCAAGAGAGACTCCTTAAATAAATAGCTTTCTTTTATCAAGCACTGAAATGTGCCAGGGGCTATATACATATGACCTTTTTTTTTTTTTTAATTTTTTTATTTTTTGCGGTACACGGGCCTCTCACTGTTGTGGCCTCTCCTGTTGCAGAGCACAGGCTCTGGACACACAGGCCCAGCAGCCATGGCTCACAGGCCCAGCCGCTCCGCGGCATGTGGGATCTTCCCGGACCAGGGCATGAACCCGTGTCCTCTGCATCGGCAGGCGGACTCTCAACCACTGCGCCACCAGGGAAGCCCCATGTGATCTTATTTAATCTCTGATCAATTTGTTCTTTCCGCTGGCAGAAGAAAATTGAGGGTCCAAGAGGCCAATGATTTGCCCAAGGTCAAAAGGCATGTAAGTGGTAGAGCAAAGAGTGGTTCCAGGGCTGTGATCGTCCCAGAGCCTTTAACATCAACTGCCATGATACACTGTTGAGATTATCAGTGTCTATGTCATCCTTCAGATTTGCTCAATCCAATTCCAGAACATGAGCAGCCTGGATATTCCATGGACAACACCCACTAGAAAGGTTCCTGGAAGTCAGGCCACTTCATTGACCTTAAAATTCCACCCGTTCCTTTTATTTCAGCTAATGAGCAAACATCACTAGGTTTTAATCAACTGCCCTTCTACCTAAGATGCTCTGAGATAACTCATTTGATAAACACATACAAAGCACCACCTATGGGGCAGGAGGAAACAAAGATGAAAAATATCCCTGCTCTCTAGGAGTGCAGACGCTTCATCAATCAGGAAGACAAATGTGTAAAATTGTTACAGCACTTATCACTCTGGATTTCAACTATTTTTAGACATTATTATGTCATACACATACGCTCATTTCAAGG